GCCATTGATGTGGTCAATTCAACCTTTATATGTAATACGCTCAGAGAGACACAGTATAAAATACTACATCGTCTACATATAACACCCTTTATACTGAATAAGATGGATCGCCAACTCTCTCCCTTATGCAATAAATGTGGAAGGGAAGTTGGAACATATTATCATTATTTCTGGCAATGCAAATTAATTAAACGATTCTGGAGTGCAATCTCTAAAGAGCTGAGTGATGTGTTTCATGTAAAGATCAGCTGTGACCCAGGTCTGTTCCTTCTTGGCCTCCCCTCAAAATCAGTCACTCTGGCACAATCACACTTCAAACTTTGTGACAAATTATTGCTTTTGGCCAGAAACAATAATTTCATCAACTGGATTAAGGATAAACCTCCAACTGTCACACATAGAGAATAATTTAGGGTCGTTCCTCATGAAAGGATTAGTGCAGTTATTAGGGGTAATGAGAAATATTTCATTGATATGTGGTCTCCTGTGCTTAACTATTTACCTAAAGAGCTGATGCAACTTGTGAGAGAGGTCAGAATCCCATAAAGTGGAAGGTCTCACCAGCACCTATCTAAAGAGCACCATCCGCTTGTCTTATGTATCTTTTCTCTTCTTTCTTTGATTGTCCGGCTAGACATAATTGTGTGGTTGTCAGGGTTTAAATATGTCTGTGAATGTTTGCCAACCACTGTAGGCATGATTCAATGTGAATGTGACATTGTACAGCGGCCTCTTTTTTTTTTAATTTTTGTATTTAATTTTATTCTTATTTTTTTTTTTTTTTTTTTTTATTTTATTTTTTTTGGGGGGAGGTGTTTTGTTTCTCTTCCTTATCATATACTTATGTAATATGATAGACAACACAGTGTACAATGTTATATTTCCTATGTTTGTGAAACACAAAACTAATAAAAATGTTTAAACAAAAAAAAAAAAAAAAAAAAAAAAAAAAAAAAAAAAAAAAAAAAAACGACAAAGGTGAAAGAAAGGTTTAAACATGACACGCTACCAGAAGAGGGAACAGTGCCTGATATATATATATATCACTGATAAATATATAAATAACTTATAAAACTTTAACAAAAACTGCAGGCATATCTTTGTCTGGAGAATTTTTGTTTTGGTCAAAACAATCTTCTTCTTCATTCATTAAAGTCACTTCAGTGGATAGAGCAGGGGTGTCCAAAGTGCTGCCCGAAGGCCATTTGTGGGCCTTCTACTGATTTATTTTATTTTATTTTTTTCATTTTTTTGTGGCCCACAATTCAAGAATCATACAAATTTGCCCCATCCAGCACAGGTGATTGATGGAGATGGAGATTTTTATTTCTGTCATGGGGAAATTTTCACTGATATAGTTTTTTCGCAATGAAAAATGCTAAATACAACACAAAGTTGTTGTTTTTTTCTTGCATACGTTGAACCTTGTTCATTCAGAAAAAACCAGACTTTTCTCCCAAATCAGCTAATTCATTATAGTTGGCTAAATATAGCAAGCATTTTGAAAGAAATTGATCCAAATACTGTTCTTATACACAAACAAATGTATTTAAAACTAGACGCCTTTCTTTAATATAATTGCTTTTATTTTAGTTTTTTTTTTTTGTGTTCTTTGGTCCACAAGTTATTTTAACTTCACGATTTTGTCCCACTCTATGGTAGCATAACCAGAACTATTACTCACGAACGTCATAATAAAACTACGCAAGTAAAAGTAAAAACTACAGTTCAATAACAAGTACATTTTTCTATAAGTAAATGTAACAAGTTACTACCCACCTCTGCATACTAGTTAATATTCTAAGTGACCAAGCAGAGGATGCAACAAAGCTCAATGTGCCCTCTCACTGTCGCCATGTGCCAGTCTTTGTGCGGACAAGCAGGTGCACAGAGACTTTCCTTGCCAGCCACAACGTCCGACAGACAGCCCATTGTGTGACTGACGCAAAGGAAAGGCCGTTCGCAGGCTTAGTCTCCCACAACATTCCTCTTTTGAACCTTCGGTGGGAAACAAAAGAAAAGCATGTGAATAGGTGGTTGTCCAAACACATCCTCCCATGTGGCACGTCAAAAAGGGGCCAGCGCCGGTTGCTGTCAGGGTAATCAGGAAAAAGTCTCGGTGGATGTGTCAGAGCTGGCAGCACTGATAAGAGTGGTGCCATACAAAGAAATGCTAAGATCTAACACCCAAAGCTGCCTGAGTCAGACTTAGTGGATTTAGATGCACCTTCAGTAACTGATCAGCTGTCAGATTTTGCCACCTTTCAGTAGAAGAGTATCTCTACACTTTTAAAGATTTTTCCATCCAGTGTATTTCATTGATGATTTATTTGATCTGCATATTTATTCAAGACTTAATTCTGCTGTTTTCTGCCTCATATAGAAGCGAGAAACCAGGTTAAAGTTGTTCCGATGTGTGATAACCTTGTGGGGTTTTATCTTGTAAACTTTGAATATGAGAAAAGCGTGTTTGGGCTGAAGGAGGCATAAGCATATCTCTGCTTTAAAGACACGCTGAATGTTTGTTAAATTCTCCCTAAGGGACTTGTGGGGGATCTCGCTTTGAAATGGAGATGGCTGGGTGTTGGCTTGTGGAGATAGCAGCGCATTGTGGGTTACAGCTGGGAAGAAAGAGACAGATATTTACCGATCTGTGCAGCTGCTCCGTGTATCATTTGTGGCTGCTTTTGATGTCACTCCTTCTGTATTTATGTAAACTAAATGGGACAGTGACAGATGGGATTGGCCATCGTGGTTTTGTGTGTTTAAACAGGAGATCCTCTGTCACAACTTTGACCACAGTAATGAGACACTACTCTCCCTGCTGTGGTATCCTGTGTGAGTTGTGATGGTGCTAATTTCCTGACCAACGAAGAGTTTTAACATCTTCATTTTGACCTTGGCAGCAGCATGCTTTGGCCTGTAGCGGTAGATTTTTTACGCTGAATGACCCTGCAGTTTTATTACCTAACCACTAACTGCAAAGGATTTCAGTTCTAGCTGCCTGTGGATACATTGGTTGACCTGACAGCACATCATTTAACCTTTCTATTGCACGCATTTTATTCTGTACATTGAACAGCAACAAAAGTCACCCTCAAATAATCAACGATGCACAGATCAATATGGCAGAATAAGGTCAGCGGTCTAATTGACCATGATGTAGAGCCCCATACTGCGAGCTATAATGACCAATCTAAAGCACTTCCTTATGTGTTTACTCTGACACGTTTAGAGATGGATGATGCACAGCTAACCCAGAGGCTTTGTCTCCAGACAACTTCAACATAGACTAGCCGATCCAGAACGTTCATTATGCCGATTTGTTTGCCTGCTTTACCACTTCATAATTCAGATTATCTCAATTCATTCACCTTGAGAGGGCGACATGTAAAACAGAAGTACTTTATTTTTCTATCATATACACTAAACATTTCTCTCATCTAGAGTGTGGTAAGGTTCTTTCCACCGTTGTACAAATCTTTGAAACAGCAAACAAGAAATTTTGATTTTTCTTCCACCTTTTAAAACGATATATTACAGGAAACAATATAAACGAAATTAAAAACACTCAAAGATAACACATTCTTTAAACACTAGTCAAAAACAAAATCACAGCCCTTTCTTACATGCAGGTTCACATGCTGCTTGTCCACCAAGGTGCAAAGGCTTTTCATTTGAAGCTCCTTCTCTTCAGGGGTGCAGAGCATGTCATGTTTTCTGGCTTCTTACACTGACCTATTTTGGAGGAAATAGAGTAGACCGACAGGGAAAAAACTTGAGTTCAGCTGAAGTATGGGCCTCAAACTATTTTATTAACTTTGTTTTTTGGAAATTACTGAAGGAAAATTATCTTTAAAGTATGCTTTGCTTCTGATTGTAAACAGTTGCAACCTGTTGCACAAATATCGCTGCTGCAATTTAAAATATCTTAAAATGTTAAAGTCCATCAACTGAACATTTCTTTCTTGAATGAATTGCTTGATGATGGACTTAGCTTTTCAGATATGTCCAGTCGGCCAAAATAAAAATAAATTTCCATTTACCAAAAACTGGTATATTTTTGTATTGTCCTAGGGCTGCAACTAACAATTATTTTAGTTATCAATTATTCTGTCAATTACTCTGACAACTAATTTTGGCTCTTCCTGCAGATTTTTCATTTAACCATTTATTTTATTATTTTATACAGTATTGGAAATGCAAGTAAAAAAAATAATTTATTTAAGAAAACCAATATTTTATTGCTTAAAATGTGATGACAGAATTTTTTTAGAGTACTTGATCATTTGTAGCAAAGGACAAATTTGAAGCTAAATAAATACTAATAACGTGAAAAACTCAAACCTTTCTGCTCGACTTGACAACGTAAAGCAATTTTTTAAAATATCCAATTAATAATTGAAAAGCAAAAGGTGCTTCACAAAAAATTTTGTATGTTTGAATCTGTATTCTCCAGATAACGATCAATCGGTTATTAGATAGTTGATAACTGTTTCAATAATCAATTAATCATGTTTATTTGTTGCAGTTTTGCATCATTCTTCTAATCATATCTTTGAATTTAGATGCAGTTAGGCCTTGCTTAAGAGCTCGATCTTTAAGAAATGAAAATAAAACTCTTTACACTTGTTAGAGATTTCCTCTCTGCTGTCTGTGGCTTCTTACATTAAGCTCAGTGACCAGTGGTTGCCACAGGGGAGTGACCTCTGTCACCACCTCCACCAGCCTTGTCCCCTGTGTTTCCCACTCTGTCAGACACTCTCCAGCTGTGCTCAATCAGTCGCATTTTCCTGAGAGCAAAGGCTGTAATTGATTCCTGACACAGCTCCCTGATGTCACTGCCTCACCCTCCCAGCTGACTTCTTTTGTAAACCCGCTGTGCCCAAGAAAGTCAAAGGATGTCAGTGGTGCATGCAACAGGGGGGATTTTCTAGTACTTGCAGGTTTTGTTTCTGGTTACAACTATGTAGAGATGAATTCTTCTTCTTTTCCTGCAGGTGTTGGCACTGGGCAGTTTGTCACCGAGACGCTCGCTCTACCGGACGCTGTCGGACGAGAGCGTGTGCAGCAACAGGAAGGCTTCGTCCTACGCCAGCTCACACAGTTCCATGCTTGATCAAGCTATGCCCAACGACATCCTGTTCAGCACCACGCCACCTTACCGCAGCACGCTGCCTCCTCGCATGGTCCATAACCAGGGAGCGTCCAACCTCCGCAGTGAGTGCTAACGCACCGCAAAGTGTTTACCTTTTAACTTACAGGGTTTTATGCAATACAGAAACACTACACACAGTTTTATACTTTGTTTTACAAATCAAAATCAGAATGTGGTGTTCATTTGTACTCTCTACTCTCTGAAGTGTCTAATAAAAAGTAGGAAATGGAGTCCACCTGTCTGTAATTTCATCTCTGTATAAATCCAGCTGTTCTGTGAAGACTGCAGAGGCTTTGTTGGAAAGCTTTAGTGAACAAACACTATCATGAAACCGTGCACTGCAAAAACTCAAAGTCTTACTAAGTATTTTGGTCTAGTTCCTAATGAAAACATCTGATGGCACTTGAAATAAAACAAAACTAACTTGCAAGGAACTTTTTTGTACGATATAACAGCTTATATTAAGTTAATCATACCTTAGTAGATTACAAAGTACTAGTTCCACGGGCAGATTATTTTAACTGCATAAACTTCTTGTTATAAAAGCACTAATCTAGAATTTTTAAAATCATTTGTAAAAACTTACTAATGTAAAACAAACTCTTATATCTTGCTAAAAAAGTTACTCACAAGTTAGTTTTGTCTTAATTCCAGTGTAGAAAAAGACTTTCATTACAATCTAAACCCAAAATACTTGATAGATGTTGTGTTTTTACAGTGTAGAATCACAGGGAGAAATTTGTCTTTAAGTTGAAAGCGAATTTAGTTTATATTCCAAGCTTTGAACATCACACAGAGCTCTGTTCGATATATCATCTAGAAATAATAAAAAAAAACTATCAATGTAATGTCCACCTAAACTGAAAGGTGTTTGAGGAGAGCATTAATCAGAAAACAGCGAGGAGTTTCATGGTAACTGGTTGTTTAACGCTTAGTCATTCTTTCCTTTATGGAAGAGTGGCATAAAGAAAATGAATGTTGAAGGAAAGTCTTTAAAGTTTGCCACAAGCCATATAGTTAACACTGCAAACCTGTAGTCTAAATGCCTGGGATGTACAATTATTCTGTGGCTAATAGGTAGCAATGAATAAATGAAGGATTTATATAAAAAGAAGTTTACACAAGCATAACTCCAAATCACTGCAAGAGGATAAAATATAACAACACAAAACACACAAAACACACAAAACGTTGAAAATAAGGCTTGAGGTCATCAAATTCTTTGTAAAAAATCATTCTCAGATGATGAGATTTTGCTCTGGTCAGATTACAGAAACCAGAAAAAACATTACATTTCTGCTGAATAAAAGCTCACCTGTTTATAGAAGCAGAGACCTAAATTGGAAATGTAAAAATAAAGGCCAGACATTAAACAAGTTAAAAAAAAATTGTAAAAATCACACTTTTTGCTTTTTTTTAATTTTAATTTAATTGATTAATCAAGTAATCTGCCAAATGCAGTTGTGGACCTAATGGCCACAAAGTTACATTTTCACATCATCTTGAATGCAGCCTAACTGCAAAACATAGTGATGTTTGTTTTGCTGTGTCATGCTGTGGGTACAGAGAAACTAATAAAAGTTGAAGGGAAAACAGATGTAGGTAAATTAATTTCTGGAACAAAACATGCACTTGTAATTGTCCTTAACATACATCCAAAGCTACAATGCCAGGGTTTCTGTTACTACATGTTCAGTGAAAAGTCTAAATTGAAAATCTGTGATAAACCTTGAGAATTTATGTTGTGACGTTATTTTTAAAAAATGCACATACACTGAAAATTGTGGTTGTAACAGAATAAACTGTAAGGGATATTTTTACAAGGCTCTGCATGGGAATGACGGTTAAACTCCTAGAGTAACATGAACTGTGCATTAACAAACACCAGAGAGAATCTGCTTTTGATATAAACACAACTCCAAACGTCTCACAGAGACAGAAGGCTAACAACACTTTCTCATCATGTTGCTCCATGATTATCTCTCCCTCCTTCTGGCACCAGATAAGAGCCAGGATATAGTTACTTGCTTGAAGAGACACTTGTGCCCGACTGATATCATTAGCACAACTGAACACATTTCAGCAACACTCCTCCATATAGCAAACTAATTGGAAATGGGTGCGGCTGCAAGCTACTTGCACGCTCTCTGCCTCTGCGCCTGCTTCACGCAGACACTTTCCTGACTCTTCGACCCCGAATCCTCTGAATGTAAGGAAGTAAATGACAGGTGTGATGTGTCCCGATTTTAACATCTCTGACTTGAATGTGCCAGTTTTCCACCTGGGGTTTCACAGTTTCTGTCATACATAATGTTTCATTCGCTCATCATCCTCATCCCTGCCTTCCCTCTCTGTCCCTGCGGTCTCATTTCCATACCGCTCCTCACCTGTCTCTTGCTGCCGCCATTAGGTAGAAAATGGGCTTTGGAAAGATGTTTTTCTCTCCGGCCTGTTCTGGCTGTCAACCTGATGGGTTCCTGATTGTTTTGAAGGATAGTTGAGAACGGAGGCTCTCTCGTTTTTCCCTTGCAGAGACGGCCCAATTTGGTAAACAGTGAATCACTCAAGCTCCGAGAAGCTTGGTAAATTGAAAAGAGAATGTCACCTCAAGCTCTCTGTCTCTTTGCCGACTCCTTGCTCAAGCTTTTCTAAATGCCTCTCCAGTGAGCGGGAGTGTGCTAGTTGCATTTTGCGTCTTTCAGGGTTGAGATGCAGATGGAAAGGAACGGAGATGTTGACTGAAACGTCAAGATATTCTCCGAGACAAGTCATTTATCACCCCTCAAACTGCGCCTCTCTTGTGATTTGCAGAGAAGTTGGTTTGGTTGGTTTAATGTGACTTGAAACCTCTCATGCGGATGCAACACGTTCCTCTTAAGAGTGAGCGTTTGCATCCTTTGAGGATTTTCCAGATACATAAATGTCCCTTTTTTTTTTTTTTTTTTTTTAGCAGCGATGAATAGTTAACATAAGGTCCCAACTTTTCCCCTCCGATGCTCCTCTTTCATTCCTCCCCCTGTCGACGCTTAGCCCTGAACTCAGGCTGGGCTCAGACTCTCAACACAATACCTGCCTGTCTCTGCAGGTGAGTTTTGGTTCTCTGACGGCTCCTTGGCGGATAGGTCCAAGTTCAGCGACCCGGGCCTCATGCCCCTCCCAGACACTGCCTCGGGCCTGGACTGGTCTCACCTGGTCGATGCAGCACGAGCCTTTGAAGGTAACCAGCTTGGCTAGAGCTGCTGGCACCTTGTCTAAAACATTCCTCTTCCTTCAGCCCCGACTTCCCTGATCCCCCGGCTGCTTTGCGCAGTATATGTTTGTGTGTCTGTAAGCGGCAAGTGCTCACTCGCTTGCATGCGTTAGATCTTTGTGAGCTGTGTGTTTCTGAAATAAGTTCATTTCGCAAGTCATGGGATAAACAATGGCTGTCACTACTGGTGGAAAAGACGATAAAGTGGTAGGAGAAGGCTGATATGTGGCATGTTTTTAATGACTTATTGAGTGAACAAACTTAGTCGTGTGGGCTTTTAATTGTGTTTCTTATGTAATGGAAACACTGCGATTGCAAAATTGTGTTGTGTTTTTTTGGGCAGTAGCAGAGTATTGCCAAAGTTTTGCACACATTTGTAATGGAAACTCCACTTCTGATATTCTTCAGAAATAGGGTCAGGAACAAAAATGTCAATTTTTAAATAAGTTAGTTTTCCAGTTCTTTCTTTTAAAAATATTGATGGAAGAAGGTTGAGTGGAAGAAAATACTGTGATAAATTACCTGCCCTAATTTGAAAAATTGACATGCTGCTCAGTTGCCCAGTCCTCTTTTAAGATCTCATTTGTTTTCTCGAATCCAAAATCAGCACAGAAGTCTACTTCAACATTTTAGAGCACTTCATCCTTTCATTTGCTGACAAGTTTTACAGGGACACTAATTTACAAGCAGGAATTGGTAGAGTACTTGCCTGACCAAAACGCTAAACAGAGTTTTACCAAAAAGATGAGAAGCATCACATCTAACAGTTCAGATGAACTGAAAGCAAAACGGGTTTTCTTAACGGCCAAACAGAAACACAGGGAGATCCCCTCCATGCCACTATGCACTAATGCAGTAATTCATGTCAAAGGAGCCCTAGCCAGATATATAGGCAGGTAATGTTTAGTAATCCAAACATTTCTTTTGTCATAATCATACAAACAAGTGATAAATGCTTGAAATATATTGCTCTGTGTGTAATTGATCCATATGTGAGTTTTAATGAGTTTTTTCCACATCATGTGAAGCATCATCTGTTTATATATTTTATTATGCCTAATTTAAGCTCTACTGTCATGTCAGTGCATTTCATCTTCCGCTAGCATACCATGAGATTTTTTTTTTCTCTGTTTGAACTCTGCCTGACCCCGACCCGTGAGCAAACAGCATAGCTTGTGTTCACTCATTTGTCAATGCGGGTTTTTGCCTTTGGTTCATTTCCGGCCTCAAAGCATAAAGTCCATCACTTACTGAGGGAGAGGGGGGTTCAGCAGAGATGATGAAGAGCTTGACTGACAGCAGTAAGGCTGTTGTCATGCCAGTCAGTGCAAGCTACAAGATCATTCTTGGACATTTAAGCAGCTATGCTATGAGAGCAAGGGGATAATCAGGTCAACAAAGATGAAATGCAGTCCTAATAAATGTTCAGTTGTTTCAAGGTGAAGAAAACTGGTCACAGTTGAGAAGAATTTTTGTGAAAATTTGATAAAATGCCTAAATTTCAAGCAGATATATCCAGGTTCCAAGCCTTCTATGCCCTGTGCACTCCCCTCCTGGTGCATTTTTATTTCACGTTCATCTGTTATTAACATTAATATTGTCTAATAACAGGGTATGATGAGCCTGGCGGGCCACCAGGCTTTACTTGTGGAGGTTAAGCATTGCTTATTTATTTAAGGTTTTTTTTAAATGTTTGCATTTTTAAGCCTTTTCAAGTGTTAATCTTCCGATCTTTCAAAAACACATAATTATCAAGTGATATTTTCAAATTTTCTGTCAACGTTAAACATTTTTTATCTCAGAAACATGTCAGGCCGCTGGATGAATGACTGCTCTAGCATCCAACCGCCAGGCTCAGCAGGTTTTCTGGGGGAAATCTTGGAATAATATTTTCTTTCATCTTTCCTAAAAGAAAAAGAACATTTTTTTAAACATTTTTACGCTTCTGTACCAATCACTATTGAGGTCTATCCCGTTACTGAGTTCCAAGACATTTAGTCAGCTGGTTTTACTACTGTATGCGCTGTACAGTGGCAGCTGGAAAAGACAAGTGTTTTGTTGTTGATTCACCAGCCAGAAACTCCTTGCTGCATTCTTGTTGGTTGTGCAGGAGGCTCTACATCTGCTTTTCAAAGATGTATGACTGTATAAATGGGCATCTGTTTGCAGCCATTTTCATGTGTGAGTATAAACATTTGGTTGTGTGGCCTGGCCAGCAGCAGCTGATTTGGATTTAAAGTGACAAGATGCCCTAAAACATCTCATTGTGAAAGAAACTCAAAACAGCAGACTAAAGTTTCATTATCTAAGAATGATTATGTGCAAAAGATTTATTGAACATGTTTAATATAGAATATAAACCTAACCTTTCTTGGTCAAGGAGGCATAATAAGTCACCTTTAGTGATGTTTAAAAATGACTAACTCTGCTTCCTTTGCTGTGTTGAATACATATGCAAACAATCGATTGATTTTATGTCTTAAAACTTAAGAAATAAAACTCTCATTGGTGGATTTAGAGATTTTGTTTAATCTGAGGAGCATTGCAGGTATTCAGCCTGATCTCCAAAGGGCCCTTCTTAGATTTTTGTCTATTTCAGGCTTTGCTCTTTAGTCAAGCTGAATATTAATGACAAAAATGGAGCAGTTACAATCAAGTTTTTTTGCTGTGTGCTTAGAAATGCTACAGGCTTGAACCCCTAGTAAAGTAAGCTTTGGCAAATAATTTTCAAATATTGTGATATTCCCCCACAAATAAGCAGGATCACTTACAGTTACAGCATCTTTTCTATCCACAGTGGTGTGGTATCTTTTTCAATCTAATCAGGATGCTCACTAAATCTGGACATCGCCTCATCGCTAAAAGACAGGCAGCATCTCTACTGTCTGAGAAGACTTTAATCTTTCTGATGCAGCCATGGAACATGAGGAACGAATTCATTCATATGGAAATTAGGGCCTGGTCTCTCTTTGCTGCCTCTTGTGAGAGAAACCAACTCTGTCCTCATCCAACTTCTGTCTTAAAGTGGATTATCTTTCAGTTGGGGGATAAATTAATGAAAATGCTTAGTTCTGGTATGAATATGCAGATTTCACCATCTTTAGTCTTAAACCAAGGGCTGGAGAAGGACTGGTTTGTAGAGAAAAGAGCATTAAGCCTTAAAACTGAGAAATCCCAGAGAGCACTGTGCCAAGTTTGGGTTTTCCATGTGGCTTTGGCAAAGCTTAAAGGCCTGATATGGTGGAACAAGCATGACCAGTGTCTTACAGTTTCATAGTGGGAGCCAAACAGCTGTCAAAGGAAACTCCAGGGTGGAAACCACTGAAGCAGAACTCAAGGAGAGTGACTAGAATTATCTGGAATTATTTGGATGGAGATTTTAGTAAAGTGGTTTGTAACAATGCTTAAATAAGCTCCATTCATTGAAGCCATGAATGACTCACCCATCCTGTTAGGAACGCATGCATTCAGTTCAAGTTGTTCTGCTTTAGCTGCATGTTAGCCAAATGATTCAGGTTTCCTGCTGTGCTGTCAAAGCCGGATTATCTAACCGGTTCTGGTCACCTGTTCTGTTCCCAGACCAGCGCGTGGCGTCTTTCTGCACCATGACAGACATGCAGAGGGTGGAGGCTCTGCAGATCTCCAGAGAGCTGACCAGACGGGTGGTGGAGGCGGAGGGAGCAGCGCTGGAAGCAGAGTAGGAATCATTCACAGCACAACTAGCGCACAAACACGCAAACACAACTCCTGGAAGAAGCAAAGAGGGATTTTTGGCTGAAAACATTTAACAGCTGCGAATTAGTACTGTGTGCCTTTCAGAGAAAAGAAAGAACTAGAGTAAAACCTAGAGCATCTTGTAAAGAGTTTCTCCATTAAGCATGTTTAATTATTTATTTTCTTTCTTCGGTTGTCTTTAATCTTTTTATTTGCAATAGTTAGTTTCCCAAGAAATATTTACAAAGGAGTAAAGGAAATCTAGTGAGGGCAAGGCACCCATTCATGCAGCTAAAAGTTGAAGAGCGACTATTATGCCAAACTCCAGCAATAATGCATTACTTAATGGCCACCCAAGTAGAAAGTTGTGACTGCAGATTCTCCCAGCTCCTGTGTGAGCTCATAACACCAAGATTTTTATGGATGATTGGTCCAGTTAGGAGGAGGAAGTCAGCAGCTTCAAGACCTTAAACACCAGTGAGCGTACTCTGGAATTTAAAGGCACTCTATGGCAAGCCCAGTCGGCATGTAATTCACCAGAGTGGTGAATATCACATCTGGTAAGACTTTACAAAAAAAGTCTGGCAGCATTCAGATGAATGTTGGATGTGTGACCTTATAGAGTTTTTTGTTTGTGTAAAACTAATGGAACAGTGAATGGAAGCAGCTAAAAGTCTAACTTTGCTAGATATAATCAGTAGATGTTTTGATGATATCTTTCACCTAAAACACCCTGAAAATCCATCCACAATTGTTTTCTCTCAAGTTTTTTTGCCATTAGCAGCTACACATGTGATATATGTTTCAATAATTTTTATTTTATTTTTTGGGGGGGCGGGGGGTCAGACATTGAGAAAATACTCTTATTGTAAAAAAAACAAAAATCTTACCACCGGGGCTCATTAAAAATAAAAATTGTGCTTGAGCAATATTGTTTCATTGATTAAAAACATTACTTTTGCAAATAGCTTTCGCAGATATACCCACTGACTCGTGTTTTTGTAATACTGTGGCAAAACGTGTCGAACTGAGAAACCTTTTTAACTGTCACAAAGTTCACCTACTTTTCCTGCTCAGCTGGATATTTGAGGAAAGTGGGGTCTCACTCGCTGTGTAACAAACCCTATGTCAACATCCATATATATGCTAATGATGGTTATGATTATTAGAGGTGAGCTCCTGAAGGTTCTTCTACGCGATGAAAAAAGTTTTTTTTAAATAATTTATTTTTATATCATTAGAAATCAAGATTTTTTTGTTTTTCTGACTAAAATACAATATTTGCACTTTAAACTTGTTAAAAATTAAAGAAAGATGCATCTCTTAACTGTGTTTGTTTGTTTAAACCAACAGCAGCTCCCCGTCCACACTAACCGGCAAAGTCAACCAGCTGGAGGTCATCCTCAGGCAGCTGCAGCAGGACCTCAGAAAGGTGAGTTATGTTCCTGTTCTTAAGCTCTGGCACCTCTGTGCTTTTCTTTTTCTTTTTTTTTAATACCAGCAGCTAGTGCATGTCTGTGCCACTCAGCCCGACATGGAGTAATGGGTGCCCTGAGGTCTGCGTAATACATACTCATCCACTTAATTTGATATCCTGTTTCCGTTCCTTATTGTGTCCCAGCCCAGTGTTTCCCCACTTCCAGTAGAGTGCTGAGGAAATACACTTCTACCAGAGTGGAGGAAAAAGCTGCTTAGATACTTTAATGCTTCTCATTTACGCCACATCGACGAAAGACGGATGTGCTTTTAATAGCGGGGCTTTCATCAGCTCCTTTGTGTGCGTTAGCCTAATTTGCCTCTTGTTCTGTTTTCAGGAGAAGGAGGACAAGGCCATGCTGCAGGAGGAGGTGCAGCACCTGAGACAGGACAACATGCGGCTGCAGGAGGAGAGCCAGACGGCAGCAGCTCAGCTCAGGAAGTTTACAGAGTGGTTCTTTCACACCATCGACAAAAAACCCTGAGTGGCGCAAAGAGGACAAACAGAGGAAAGACGGAGCAAAAGAAGGCCTTCATCCCTCCTGTGCACCCACTCAACTCCCATGTGAGATTCCCAGATAAATCCACAACGAAAACAACATTAAAACGACAATTTCAATGAGTATTAAAAGATACTGTGCTGCACTGGATATTGTGCTGCACTGTGTGAGAGACTGAAAACCCAGATCTGGACTCTAGTTTGGGGGAACTCCTCTCTACTCCTCTTTTTAAAGTTACCAGTCTCTCTTGGGGAACCTTGTGATGTTTTGCTCTGGAGAGGACTTGAGAAAAGTAATTCCAGGGGAAAGGATCTCCGCTGAGTCCTGGGATCTTCTTACAGAAGTGGAATGTAAAGCTCATTTACTGTAGTCAACATTTAATCTACCTACGTAAATCACGTCAGTCTACTGTACTGTATACTCAGCTGTACTGTACGGGTGAATCTCAATACATTACAATGTTGTGTAAGCTAATTTATTCACACAACTCAGATGAATAAATTTAAACACACAGGGTGATATATTTCAAGCATAATTTTTGATTTTGATGTTTATGGGTTACAGAAAATGAAAAAAAAACAAAGTTACAGTACATTCTAAAATTACTAGCTAACAAATTTTCACAAAACTTTGCCAATATTGTGCTAATGTAAAAAGACATGATTTTGTAATTACTGTGTTTCCATTAAGTAAGAACTAGAGTTAAAATCAAATGTGAATAAGTTTGTTCACATAATAAGTCATTAAAAACATGCAGCACCATCCTCTTCCTACCACTGTCTGTGGTAACACCCAGTTGTTGATCACATGCAAATATATTCCAAATTCCAAAAATGCTAATTTGAATACAGCCAAAAAACCACCTTAACTTTTAATGAAAAAACTTAAATTGGCCTGTTTCAATCAAGTACATTTATTTTCATAACTCCAGTTTGCATAGTTAAATAGAAACACACCTATAGACTGTGGAAACTTCATGTGGATTGGTTTCTGTGATATCACAACATTTTTCTTTTTACTCAACTTTCCATTAATATGCTTTGATACAGTAGTCTATAATGAGCTTTGTTTTATACTTCTCTCATGGCTGTACTTGTCTCTGTTGATGGTGCATCTCTTTCTACTACACTTTTTTCTTCCACTCTACTTTCCACTAGTATTTTTGTATACATCTCTCTTTGAACTGCCAGCTTTTTTGGCAATAGCCTTTACGCAACTTGTAAGGGACGACAATATCTGTCAGTAAGTAAAAAAAAAATGGTTTTCAGAAACTTGTGAAGTCAAAATGATCAAGATTAATAGAAATGTGAGCTTGAAATGATCACTCTGTGTGGTAGATTTATACAAAATGAGTTTCACTTTTCATAATTGAATTACTGAGCTACTTTTCTTTTTTCTAATGTACTGAGAGGCACCTGTATCATTCTGCGCACAGTCACTCAGCTGTTTCTGCTGCATCGGCCCTCACAGACGTTGGGGGAGCAGAGGGTTTGAGGCGAGAGTCGGAGGGACAGGAATGTACCAGACGAAATAAAGTGATGCTGTCTGCCTGCACCAGGAGGAATCCACATATGGTGGGCTTGAAATGTTCAGTGTGTCGACGGGTGGGAGGGGATGAATGTAGCTCAACCGAGACCTTTTATTTTCTCTGAAACTCTCGTTCCCAAAGCTACAGAAGTTCTGAACATTTGACGTGTTTGTTTTCAATCAACTTTCCTGTTTTTTATTTGTTTTTTTCTTTCTCCTCTGTGTTGTAACGTAGGTTCACATGGCAGTAATTTCGATGTTTGAAGGTGCTTTCTCCCTCAGCACATATTTGTCAGTAGTTTCCATTTACCGTCAAAATGTCCTAGCAATAACAAAGTGGTAGTTACAAAACTGTGTTTTTTTATTTTGTTTTTGGGATTTTCTTTTCTTTCTAAAGGAAGTTAGCACAAGTGTGGATAGTTTCTTTTGAGAAGCAGATGTTTTTTGACATGTATTTATAAAGCTGGAAGAGACTGTGCCTAAAACTGGTTGTAAATGGATTTTTTTCTTTGTTTTTCTCTGTCAGCTCTCTTTTATAAACACATGCCTTGTCTGTGGCTCACTGAGATAAAATCGTTTGAGTGTGAGAGTGTGTGTGAGTGTAACAGTATGAGTTCATATGCAGTGGTTTCTAGAGTATTGGAGCGGACGCCAGTGAACCACACTTACAATGCCAAATGTGTTTATTTCTGTACATAACTGCCACAGAAGTGTCTTGTATTTAACACTATTATTTAAGCTTATTTAACCTAAAGTTGTTTATTTTATGAAGCTTCTTTGTTTTTTTTCTGCACAAATGAGAGATAAATCTCTGTGTATGTTGTAAAGTGTGTTGCTTTGCAGGGCAAAAATACAACAAAAAATCAAACCAACAACCACAAAACAAATTACGTATATATTTAACTATATAAATAATTTTGGAAATTCCAACATTTGGATGCTGCTAGATGAACAGATCGCTGGTTTGTATGCTTTTAAAAATGTCTCCTCGTTACCAGTTTCCTCCCTGGTGTGGGATGTTGGACGCATTTGATTGTTTGTTTTTCTGTTGTTTTTTATTTTATTTTGTTTTTAATAAATGTAGTTGTAAAAATCAGACCATTTTCCCATTTGCAGTGTCTTATTTTCTAATCTCAATTAAGCAATGTTGCATGAGAAAGATCTGAGTTTTTTGGGTTTTTCAAATAGAAAATATTGCAAAGTATATGTGACATCACTACCTCCAGAACTCCGCCATGACAGATGTCAGAACAATCAATGCGCTCCTCTAAAGCTGGGCTATGAATTAGATCATCAGGAATGGACCAATCACAGCTCTGCACGTTGCCTCTCCTCGCGCTGCCGCTGCTTAATGACTTCAGAGTTTCTTATTAAAAATCAACAGACACAAAATGGAAGAGCTACTAAAATCACATTATCAGCATTTAATTAAGTCTCCTGTTTGTTGAGCATCTCTGCACAGTGCAGCAGATTTAATTCATTGTACAGAGCTGGACCAAAGCTGTATGAGGCCTGGAGCAGAATCTGACTTAGGGGCCCCTCTTGCTACTAGAAACATCAGCACTTCAAACAGCTTCTGTTAGATTTACAAAAGTTGGAAACGGCTAGCTTAAGATATCGGGTCATACATCCTGATTTCATGATGTGTTGATCAAATTATTGACTGCCTGGATTCACACCACATGATTTATATCACTGTGTCATAAACAGAGTTTCTCCTTCACACCGGAGCAACATGATGGTGCGCACTGTCTCCATGGTTATATTTAATATCTTTCTAATCACACTTATAAAGTATATGAATGTTTATCTTCTTGCCTTGTAAAAAAGTGTTCACTGCAAATCTGCGATGCTGACAGTCATTATAATTGACGGTTGCTATATGCATCGCTGCCATATTTCCTCATTTAAAGTTATATAAGAAAATAAGTTTGGTTTGTATCAATTGAAATCAACTGAATAGAAGCAATATTGGGTTACAGACGTCTGTTTTTGTCTCTAAAGGCAACTACTGCACCAAGCTGCGCTATGATGTTGGCGGAGTTCTGGAGAGCATAAAGTCACACGCAAACAATATGAAATCTAGTGAAATTATTCGGTAAAATCCAGCTGCCAGTTGAGATTCTTATACATAAAATCAACATTTCAAATTATATCCTTTCATAATTTATTTGTGTATCGATACTGTGATGGACTCGCCGTCTCAAGAATGAGCGAGTATAAACGATGGATGGAAATGTTAACATTATTTTGACTTTCACATGAAAAGGTTTTAAGGAATTCTGATCAATCGTGGCTTAAAACGGATCTGTCAAAGATCGTCTCTGCCCAAATTGAGTGGTGGTTTCATCAAATCCCATGTGCCTCGAGGAAGTTCAATTAGCTGAAACTGTTCGTATAGATCAGATAGTTTAGTGCACAGCTTTGAGTTTTCAATAGGTCTGTGGTTACATTTGGTGAATTGAGAGGCAGTGCCTACAATTATTGAGTTCATGTTTTTGTCTCACAGAAGGGAAATTCATGCAGGAAAGCCTAAGACACTGATGCATGTGCAAACAGCTCATTTTATTTTTGCGCAGAAACTTTTCTTTCTTGTTCCTGATGCGTGGAACAAAGATCGTTTTCTGTCAGACTTTCTTTATCCTCTGTTTAGTAAACAGCAGGTGTGCTGCTAAGTCTTTCCAGTTGAAACATGAAACCATAATGTGTTTGGGACTTGATTCCCTCTGAGTTGATGGGCTTTAAATAAATGACAGATGTTGCTTTCACTGTTTGCAGCGGCTTGTTAAATAATTAATCATAAGCCTTTCTAGATATGGAGAGAAAAACAATTAAATTTGTTTGCTACTTCCTGCATAAAACCTCCTGCCCAGCTGCTGAGGTGTGACTCAATCTATGAAGGTTTCTCAGGTTTGCAGCTGCATTATGTCACAGGTCAGGGGTGTCCAAACTTTTTATCACATCAGAAGAACATGTGGGCCAAAACCTTTAACTCTTTTAAAAAGCTAACACCACAAAAAATAAACTAAGTATGCAGTATGTTAATTTTTTTTTAAGAAAAGTGAAGCGTAGATCAAAACCTGAGAAGGAGTTTTGCATCCTTGCCTCATTAAAATAAAGGCATCCAGTTTGCACATTCTTTGGCTCTGAAGAAAAGAAATTACAGAACAAATGAGTTTATTTTCAGCACAAGAACAGGGTTTGGTTCACTCTCTCTCAGAAAACATTTGCTGCATTCAAGCGCGATAACTTCATTAAATACATATTTTGATGCATTAAAGTCTGCATTAGAGTAAAGGTCACTGGATACATGTGGTCAGATTTTTATGTAAAATTAGAGATACAAAAAGTCTGGTTATGAAAACCTAAATATTTTATGTTATGCCTCTTCTTCTTGTATTTTAATAAACATCAATTAATTGCTGTCTCTGTTAACCACCATTGTTGGGGGATCAAATTTGTCTCATTATTGAATTGAGTCCCGTAAAAAATCAGGACCGAGACCACCAACGGCCCCCGGGCCTCACTTTGAACACCCTGTTCAAACAGATCTAAAGTTAACTGCCATGGAAACACTTTTTTTTTTTACATCACACGTGTGGTGATTAACAAGCAGCTGTTTCTAGTGGCGCAAACCGTGATGAAGAAGAAGAAGACAGGAAGTAGTTGGAGAATGATGGATGATGGCGCAGCAGGTTTTGTAATGTCTTCTCATGTGGACCACTTATCCACGTGTGATTTTAATTGTCTTTCTTATTTTCACAGAAACAACATAATCGCAAAATTGTAGGGTTTTTTTGTTTCTTTTTTTTTTTTTTTTTTTTACATTCGTGGGATATAGAAAACGTTTTGCGCTGCGAATGGCTTTACCTGTGAGTTTGGCGGAGACGTGGGCCTGTTTGAAAGTCTGAAAGCAGATCACTGGTTTCAGCCTGACCTCCCTGTCAAGCTTCTCCACATCACCAACCAGCTCTGTGTTGGGCCCGGAGCAACACGCAGTCAGGAGGTGGTTAATCTACATGTATATGTGCTGTGCGCCAGGATGGCAGATGGGAACCGAAACTGGCACAAAGTGAAAGTGTTGCCTGCTTCAGATGAAGGAGGGAGAGGTCCAGGGTGCGGAGCAGCTAAATGGAAATGCCAAGTGTCTTCTACATGAAGAAAATCTGGACAAACATAAAAAATGGACTGAGGCTTGGAGGGAGAACCAAGTGGCTGTGGCAACAGAAGCACCGGTCCAATCCAATAACGCAGTGACAAGCTGGAATTTCATTATCCTCAGAAAATATGCTGACAAGCTGTAACTCTGAGACCCAACCCATTAGGTTGACGGTTTGAACCAGCCAGATGGTTCGGGCTCCCGGTTGTACAAACCATATTTGGTCTCTAATTTCTTCCTGTGTCAGCGGTTAAAAGCATAAACGCTGACATTTCTCCTCCGTTCAGGAGTGACGGTCATCTGCAGCCACACAGATTTGTGGCTCATCACTCATAATAGCTTGTGACTGCAGCACAGTTGTCCTGCTTTCTCAGTCCCACGGCAGATGCTCCCCTGCTGTGAGTTCCACGCTGGTCCGGATCATGTTACCCAGAATGGGTTCAGAATGCCTTAAGCACAGCTGGCACCGTGCAGAGGGAAGGAGGGGGCGGTTCTCATCGACTAGGCCCAGATATCAGCTTCACATATCAGATTTCTCGCAAACAGAGAGCTGGGTTTTTTATTTCTGGAAAATAAATGAGAAAAGGCAAAAACATTCTCAGTGGTGTAGGAAAAACCCTTAATATATGTTCATTTTTATTTGCAGATGTGTACTTTTACACTAGAAAAATAAAAATGCACTGCAAAAACATACTCTAGTTTCTTTTCTAAATATCTTAATACACTTAAAACAAAACTAACTTATTTACTTGTTTTAAGCTAGTAATTCCTTAATATTGATGAAATATGCTCCATTGGCAGATTATTTTATTTAAAACAAGAAATTTTTTCATGTTATAAGTTAATTTATCTGCCAGTTGAACTAGTACTTTTTCATCAAAAGAATTGTTTACTTAAAACAAGCCTTACTCTTAAGTTAGTTTGAATTATTTCAAGTGCAAATTTAGATATTTGCTCTAGAAATTATACCAAAATCACTTTTATGTTTTTGTAGTGCAAATCTCTGAGGTTTAGTATCGGCCAACGCGATACGGAGAAAACATTGCTAAGCTAAATTGAAACATTTATTTTTTTGGTAAATGCAGACATAAATGTACTGAATTACAGATTTATCTGATAAATGCGTCAGTGCAGAACATTTAAATTCATCAAAAAGCTTGGTCAAATGTGAAAACTTTCCTTTTAGCAAACTTTCTTTCAAAGAGTTTGGAATTTGAAAGAAGTAGGAATTATAAGTATACTTTCTGAAGTTGATTATAATATGAAAGAAGTTGTTTAAAATTAAAATTACACTTATTCTTAGCAACTCTTATTGCTAAGTATTACTATATCCAAACTAAAATACAATAAAATATTATCATAATAGACTCATAGTATTACAAGTATAAAGTCATAATATTTTCAGAATAAATTGAAATTATTACAAGAATAAAGTTGTAATTCTGACTTTATTTTGTAGAAGTCATCGTATTCCCGTACGACTTTATTCTTGTAAAAAAATTAAAAAAAAAGAAAACATGTAATTTAAATAAGACAGCTGTGTCCTGATTTTCATAAGTCAAGAAATGGCAACAGACAGGTGGTTATTCATCAAAAATTAACCCAATCTACAGTTTGGAGTTAATTATAATGTTTAAAAAAGAGCCGGAGCTGTGGGGAGGAAGATGGCATTTTAAAATCATCACAGCATCATCATTTTGTTCCCCAAGTCTGCCTAGCAACAGCGAGACACTTCTGCATGCCAGAAAGCAAATTTTTACCCTACAATTTAACTGGAGCTTTGTGCTTTGATAAAATAGAAAAACTATTTAAGTTCAACATGAACATGATTTCAGGAACTCTTAAAAATATCGGAAGATTTTCAGTAAAAATCCCTCATAATTCAGATTTAAAACAGTTTGGTCACGATCAATAATGCTCATATTATTAGCTTAGCAGTTAATAATATATAATAATGTATTATGTATGAAAATTTAAATGTCCAACGGAGACATTTACATTTTAATTTGGTAATTCTTTAAAAATGCAAGAAAATTATAGCAAATCTCTTTAAATTTTGCAGATTTTTTTTTCCCTTATATTTTCTCGAGGTCAAACCAAGCAGATTTTACTTCTTTCCAGCAGAGAGAAATTAACAGTTTGCTGCTTAGCACACAGGCCTTTGGTTACAAATTAAAGATGTAAATTTTTAAGGCTTTCAATGCATCTCTTCCATGTGGACATGGAGAATTACTCACAACTCATTCCTATCAGTGCTTTTCGCCTTGGTGCTGTTTCCTTTGTTACTTGAAAGCCAGATGATAACCGTATTGATCTCCACATTGTTTGCGAGTGTTGAGTATGAGAGGAAAACTGGGAAAACTATAAATCATCGACTTTTCTTTCTCGTTGGCTCTTACTGAATCTCTGATGTGTTGTGTGCCTGAGAGGCATGCCAGGAGGATAAGCTCTCTCACCTGGACTGTTTATCTGTGCAGCTCATCTCTCCTCTGCTGGCCCTTTGAAAATCCCCCTCACTCACTGGGGAGCTGCAAGAGAAAGCAAAGAGAAAAGGGGGGGAGAAAAAAGACACAAAGAAAAAAAAACAAAACCAGTAAAGAGTCATCTCTCTCCCCCATCTGCCTGCTGCATCCCAGTGGGCTGCTGCTGCTGTCAGTCAGTCACAGGTGACCATCCTCTTACCTGGACCCAGTGAAGGGCAGCGTATTATAAAGCTTCCCTGCTTTCTTTGAAAATCCTTAAAGGTAAAACAGGGGAAAGGAAATCATTTTGCAGAAAGGTCACTGGAGGGAGAGTGACTTCAAATCTTACATCAATCCGAGGCGACGGCAGAGAAAGCCTCCTGTGTTCAACGTGAGAGAAAAGAAACGAGGCCCGCGTCTCGTGCTTCACCGGCAAATTAGCTAAAGAGACAGGAACAAATAGATCAGACAAGGGCAGGTGAATTATCTTCATTTGCAAGGATGTCCTTGTGTCCTGTCCTTTCAGCCCCAGAGCAGCAGCAAGCTCAGCTATTGATTCTCAATCCTGTGAGGAGGCTTTTCAGGAAGGACTTCAGAGCCACTCTTAAACTTTTTTTTTTTCCTTATTTGGAGTATTGATCACATAAAGTTTGATAAGCCTGGCCAGCTCATGGAGCTTGGCCAGGCATTTCTTGCAGGGGGTCCTGGGAATATTGATATCTGATGGATGAACACAAGGTGTAAGCATGGGGGTGTTTAGTTCTGAATAACAAATAGCCCCACTGATCCATCATAGGGCGTAAAAGCTTAACTGGAGAAGGAATCGATCCCCTTTGTGAGAGGTGGAGCTATGGAGATGCTGAAGGTCAAACGGAACACGCTTTTGAGACTTCCTCTAGTTGGCAAAATGGAGTGAAAGAAGTGATTAACCTGGCAAACAAACATCCTTCTGTAAAGGAAAACTCATGCTGGGAGAAGTGCGGCAAATAGGAGCCGTCGTTATCTCCAGGTGGGGACTGATAAAATCAGCCTTTTTGCTGCTCCGGTGGAGTTGTTTACATTTGACTTGAGCTAATTTGCATTAATGCACTGCAAATACGACAGTTAAAAAATGCGATCTAGAGAAACGAGACGTTAATCTTAAGAAACGTTTTTGTTCATGAAAACTAAAACATATTATTGTTCTTAAAATATGTATTGAAAAGTTTACATTACAACAAAAAGTACAGAAATAACCCATGAGAACAACGTATTTATGGAGCCTTTGCACGTGATGTCACGGTCTCCAGAACTCCTCCATGACGGACGTCAAAACAACCGATGCTTTCATTTAAAGCTAGTCAAGAAAAGCTCAAATCTGTAATCTAAAATCGTTTCTATTTAGTTGATTTCCATTTAAAAACAGTCACAGACAACTTCAAAATCGTAAGCTATGCTCCACTGTTGGCATCCCCGTTTAGAGCACTTCTTCTTTTTTATGGCAGTTGGCAAAACGCTGAGCACACTCTCTATGTGTGACATTATTGCATCCTCTACTGTGCATGCAGGACACTTTCAGGTCGTTTACAGTTCACACTGGAGAACACGTACAAGTCGGACATATTTGAAAGTGTGAATGGCCACAACAAAAACAATCTGATTTGACAAAAAATCAGAATTACGTCATTTTGGGCTGCAGTGTGAACGAATCCTTACTCTTTCTTTTGTTCCTATAATTTCAATCTGAGACTGATCAGGGGTTAGTTTCTCATTTCATATAGCAGATGTCGACACCTATGCCTCTTTATTCTGCACGTCAACAAATGTAATAACCGTTAATCTATGGATCAAGACGTACAAACTGAAAGTTTTGGGATTTTAATCAGTCTGCTTCAAAGAAGAACTTTCAGTACACGGGGAGTGATGAAGCAAACAGTGAATGTTGGTATTTTCCTGAATAGTTCATTAATCGGTTCAATAAGTAGGAATTAATGTTCGCTCCTTGCTCTGCTGGTGGCAGCTCGATGACGATGGGGGAACAAAACGCCACCAGTGAACTGAAATGTAATGAGGGATCAGTCTGACGTGGAAATCTGCCACAAAATTTATTAAAAGTCATTTCAGTTTTCTCCTGATAATTCCGGTGTAATAAAAACTTTTTCTGGGTCAACTTTATATCCTTCATGAAAAATGAGCATAAACAAAAAAAAAAAAAAAAAAAAAAGATGCATGTTTTGTTTAAAGCTGCAAATCTTGCACTACAAGAGGATCTGTTTAACACAAGTGTTAAGCTGTCTGTCTGACCTCAGTTATTATTTCCCATTGATTGCTTATGCAGTCAATAAGGTACAACATAATTAGTTTGAAAGTATTTGCATGACAAAGCACTCTCAGGATGGATGACCTTTAATTTCTGCAAAAACAAACAGCTCAAATCCCCACATGTGCTGTTGTCTTTTATTTATTCACTGACTCAACTTTTCCGGTTCCGTTCCCCAGAGTGACATGAGGGCAGAAGAAAGCTGTTCAATATTGGCGTGTAATAATAAAAGTTCAAACTCTATTGAGCTTTTGTAGTTCTCTCTTTATTAGTCCATTTTTCTTCCTTAATGTGGCACTTTGCTTTAAAAAAGTTCTCCCTACTGAGACATTATTCCCAGACTTCTCTGATTTTTCTCTTTTTTTTCTGTCATTCTCTAATTGAAAAAGCAAATCATTATATTTTAGAGTCGGAAAACCAGGAACATTAATATATAATTATATTGAACCACAAAGTATAAAGTGTTTTTTTTTTCATTTTCTTTTAATTTGTCCTCTCCGGATGTCCGCTTGTGTTAGAAAGTTTAATCAATAAATGTGCCGTTTCAGCTTTCTTTCTGTTTTACCCATTACAATTAGCTGCAGCAGCGCCTTGTTTCTTTTCTCAGTGTCTGAGCCAAATGAATGACAGCTTGTGTATCTATATTTTAAATTCATTCCTAAACACCAGATGTGTAGCAGAATTTGAGTGGCAGGACAGACCATGCCTTTAGAATAATGTTGCTGTATTTATGAGGGAAACACAGGCTAAATGTTTGAGAAATTCAACATATAAAGGCAGAAAAAACTGTAACCTGAAGCTTCTTGGCCAAAAACAAACACCACTCAATGAACCTGGGTAAGCTTGTCCAACAATTCACTATTTTTACAATGTGAAAGAACCCAAAATACATAAAAATGTTAGACCACCAGCATCACACAAATCCACAAAACATTATTAAAATGACAAGGTAAAGGCATTAACCAGGCATTAATTAACTCTCTTGGTGTTTCAGAAAGAAAGGAACTAGTCAATTTCAAGGTCTGACAATCAGAAGAAAGAAATTGAAAATGGTTATCTTAAATGTTTGGCTAGCACAATCCATGGTTAACGCTGAGACTTTCAGCTGCTTCCATTCATTTTGTGCTCACTAATCTAAAGTAGGCTATTCTGGTTGCACGGTTATTTGAAGACACAAATCCTTGCAGAAATCTTTAGCTGTTGGATTCTGATTCAAGCGGAAATCCAAGCTATCTAATTTTGTGTTGGGGAGCTGCTCTGTTTTGGTATCCAAATCTGGTGTTTGGTGTGTAACATCATCGTCTCTTCAACAAGCGTTCTCAGCTGTCTTGTGCTTGTTTACTTCTCTTTCCAGTTTGTTTGTTTTCCACACATTTCTCAGTTTTTCATGTGTAAATAAATATCTGGTTGAAAACAGATATTTAAATGCACCTTACAAGAAAAAACACAATCTGATAATCTTTCCTTTTTTAGGTAAATTGGGATTACTGGAACCATTTCTATTTGTTAAATTCGGTTTAAATAGTATTTTGCTGAATTTCAAACTGTATGACTTGGGTTGAATATTTTGACAATATAACAATAATTATTGTTGATTTTGACAGAACAGGTTCGTAGGACTCTGTGCTCACACGCAGTTTTCAAGCCAAAATTTTTTATTATTATGTTTAAGCAGTTATGGGGCATAATCTTAAACTGCTAGTGTGCCAGTTACTCTACAGGTTGTTGCTAGAATATTAATCCTCATTACAGTCCATCTTGGTCGTTTTTCTTCCCACTTGCGAGTATCAGGAAGCAGAACAGTGACATTGGTCAATTATCAGCGACGTTCAGGTCGGATTAATGCAACCTGGATGTTCGGTCATATTTAAATCAGATACCCAAGTGGCCTGGGTCACATTAAAAAAAAACCGACCTGTGTTCAGATCATCATAAGAAAATTGGATATAGGCAAAAATTTATGTACATCGCAATGTTCAGCTCTGGAGAAAATTAAGAGCCCACTGCATTGAACCTCATGTTAAATCATTAGTATTGTTGTTTCTAAATGAATATCAGCTTGTTTTTTTTGCATTATTTGAGGTCTGAAAGCACTGCATTTTTTTTGTTATTTTGACCATTTCTCATTTTCTGCAAATAAGTACAAAATTTTTGCTTGGAATTTTGAAAACCTGCTGTCAGTAGTTCATAGAATAAAAGAACAGTGTACATTTTACTCAAACACATATCTATAAAGAGTCAAATCAGAGAAACTTATCGTTTTAAGTGGCCTTTTAATTTTTTCTAGTGCACTGTGCTACTGATTTATTGACCACATACCAGTATAATCACATAATATTTCTAATCTATCGTGAAGTGCACCAGTCCCTCCTGATGCAAAACATCCACACAACATAATGCTGCCACCTCCATGCTTCAAAATTAGGGAGATGTTCTCAGACTTGTGCCCCAAAATAAATTCACAAGTGAATGTTTTGGTTTTTAATACAACACAAGTATTAAATATGTTGTGAAATAATAAATCTCTGCTCTTACTATTCTGAAATTTAGGACATTGATAGAATTTTGGTAATCCTGAGTAACATAAGAAATGAAATGTTTGTCCGGATTCAATGTCAGAAAGAAGTTTATGCATTCAGAATGAAACAATACTCTAGTAAAAGTAACTCTCTTTTGACTGAATAACATATTTTAGGTGTTTTTTCATGATTATTAATAAAGACTTTTCTTTTTAATAATCAAACAAAATCATGTAGTGAAACTCTGATTCGCTAAATAAATTTAATGTCAATCAAAAAATATCCCTACATAATTTGACGTAATAACTGCAGCAGACTATAACATTGTTTAGATAATATTAAGATTGGATTTCAATCCGTCATAAAACAAAAACACAAGTAAATAATAATAAAAAACAATTACCTGCCTGCCTGCCTGCCTGCCGGTTCCTTTTTAACAAACTGCAGAAACAATATTTGAAATGATGGGGCTTTGATGCTTTGTGTTTGTTAGTCCAATATTTTCTGCAAGAAAGGAGGGGGAAGCTTCTCAGTGGATGCAAAGATCAGAGACGAATGAGACAGAAAATAGTTGGGTTTTTTTCCCCTTCATCTCTCTCTGCTAATGCTTGGCTTA